AATAAATAAATAAATAAATAAATAATAAAGTAATAGGAAATGATAGAGTTTAATACCAATCAAAAGAAAGCTGGAGTACTTAGACAAAGTAGATTTCAGAACAAATAATGTAACAGAAATATGCAAGACCATTTCACAATGTAAAGGGATCCATTCATCAAGAGAATATGAAAATTCTAAATGTTTATGAACTTAAATAACAATACCTTCAAAATATATAAAGTAAAAACTGATAAGGTTGCAGAAGAAATAAGTCCATAATTATAATCAGAGGTTTCTATAGCCCTCCCTCAATTATTGACACAAGTAGAAGAGAGAAAATCAGAAAGGCTCTAGAAGACTTGAATAACATAATTAACCAATTTTATCTAACAGGCATTTATAGAACACTCTACCCATAAATAAGTGGATGCACATTATTTTAAAGTGGACACTGAATACATCAATAGACCATCTAGACCAAAAACTAGTCTCAATAAATTTAAAATGTTTAAAGTCATGAAAACATATTTTCTGACTATAGCCGAATCAAATTAAAAAGCAGTAACAAAAATTTCTGAAAACCTCCAAATATTTGAAAACTAAGTGGCATGCCTCTAAGTAACTCTTGAGTCAAAGAAGAAAACAAAAGTGAAATTGGAAATGCTTTGAACTGAATGAAAATGAAAACGCAACATAACACAACCTTTGAGATACTACTAAAGCAGTAGTTAGAGGGAATGCCTACATTACAAGAAAGACCTCAAATCAAGAGCCCCAGCTACCATTTTAAAAATTAAAACACAGAGAAAACCAAACTCAAAGTAAGCTAAACAAATAAAATAATAAAGATTAGAGGATAAATCAATGAAATAGGAAATAGCAAAAACAGATAAAACCAAAAGTTGATTCTTTGAAAATATAAATAAATGTCATAACTATCTAGCCAAACTGATCTAGAAAAAAAAGAGAGGAGACGCACATCACCAATATCAAGATGAGACTAATATCGCTATAATCTCAACAGATTTCAAAAGAATAATAACAGAATGTCATAAAAAACTTTTACTAATAAATTTGATACTTTACATGGAATGAACAAGTTCCTTAAAACACACAAGCTGCCAAACATCACTCAAGAAGAAATAGATGATCTAAATAAATCTATATCTATCAAATACCTAAATTAGTAGTTAAAAACTTTCTTGCAAGAAAAGGTCTAAGCCCAGATGCATTCACTGGTGAATTCTACAAAATGATTAAGAAAAAAATACTATCAATTTTAACCAAGCTGATTATCTGAGACGACAGATACATTTCAGAAAACTGAAAAGAAGAAAATATTTTATAATTCATTTTGTGAGACCAGAATGATCCTAATTAAAAACAACAACAACAACAACAACAAACAAACAAACAAAACAAAAAAAAACAGATAAAAGAACCTACATTCCTGGGATAAATCTCACATGGTAGGTTGTTTTATAATATGAAAATCTATCAATGTGACTTACCATATTAACAAATTTAGAGAGATAAACTATACCATCATTTTAATAGACACAGAAAATTCAACATCCATTTCTAATGGAAATAAAGTCTTTGCAGCAGACTAGAAATAGAAGATACCTTCTTTGATGTAATCAAACATTACATTAAAAAACAACAACATACAACTAACATCATACTTAACCGTGAAAGACTAAATGCCTAAAATTAGAAAAACAGTCACAGATGTCTGCTGTTACCACTTCTGTTCAATGTAGTACTAAGATTCCTAGCTAGAACAATTAGACAAGTAATAAATAAATAAATGTCATCACAATTGGAAAGAAAGAAATATAATTGTCTCTGTGTGCAGATGACATGATCATACATACAGAAAACTTTAGGAAGAACTGAGCTTTCTAACACTGGAGGCATGTAATCAGTGCATGTTGAAGTGTTAAAGAGAAAGCAAGACTAGATGATCTCCTAAGATCCTTCCAACACTGGAATTTTTCTGCTGATATGGAAGAGGTACTTCAAGGCAAAGAATGGAGTATGCCAAATAAACGGTAGAGAGAATGAGTGAGTGCACTACGTTGGAAGGGACTTTCTGCTGAAAGGGTCAAGCGCCCTTGTGGAAGAAGCAACACTTGAGTTTTGATGTAGACTCTGCATGGTCTATAAGAACAAGCACTGTGCTGGGCATAAGACAGACCTGGTTACAAAGCCTGACTCTGCCATACGTGTTTATGGGACTTTAGGAAAGTCACATATGTCTTTGGGATTTACTTACTTTATCTGTAGAACAAAGTTCATGATCATTCTTAAGTTACATTGTTTTTTGTTTGTTTGTTTTTAATTGTGAGAAGAACAGCATGCTATGGAGATATGATGGAGATGTGAAGCATTATTATTAAAGTGTAAACCCACTGTTGGAGGATTTTCATTTCCCTTGGTTATCTGTGGTTTACAAACCTCTGCTATTATAAAACAGCACTCCAGAAGGACAAAGACACACACGCACGCACACGCACACGCACACGCACACACACAAAATACACACCCACCCATTCACAGACAGTGGTAAATCTCACCCACATAAAAATAATGTATATGCAGATAATACAAACACACAGACACTTCAGTTTGCCTATGCATACTCAGACACACAGTCTTGCACAAACACATATGCATGCACTCCATACAGAGTCAAAAGTCAGAATTAATCAAGTTTGAAAGATGAGACAAAATCAGTTGCCCAATTACTGTTCCATGACCCGCCCCTCTGTGAAAGTGATGTCCACTCCAGTCTGTTCTGTCTCTTTCAGTCAATAATGTGGAAAAAGCCACATCAATCCCAGGAGACCTATTAGCAGCCAACTTGACTTCTCATGTTGTCCATAATCTGGACCTTTCTTTTTCTGACTTCTCTCACATTCACAATCTCATTTTATCACTTTCTTCCAAATTTCAGAGGAATCAAAGCAAAAATAGCCCAGAGAGGAATGGGAGAGGTGTAGGAGAGAGACAGGTAGAAAACAGGAAGACAGAAACAGAAAAGGGAACAATAAAGATCCTTTCATTCATTTATTATTCATTCAGTCAACTCATATTTGAATGCCAGACTTTGTGATAGGTGTTGGAAATTCAACTATGACTAACACAGAAAAGCCATCTTACCTCTTGGAGTTTATAATTTAATTGGGCAAATAATTATACTTCTTTAATTCTTTAAATAGCCAAGTCTTGGTTCAAGATTAAAATTATAAATTTGAGGAGATATCACAAGCTGAATAACCTTGGATCAGTCTCAATGTTCTAATCTGTGAAATGGGTACAATAATCACTAACCCTCCTAAAACTGCGAGGATGAAGATGCTGAACAAAGCATTTAGCTCAGTGCCTGGCACAAAAAATAGATGTCTAATTGATGTTTTCTGCCTGGAAAATAATAATTGCTGAATGGAAGTCTCAACAGAGAACAGAAGATGTAAGCCCCAGTACAGATCACAAGTGAACATTTCGTTTCTTGGCAGTATCAAAGATTTAGAACTCAGAAATAATGTTCTGAGTGATAATCAAAGGTACCTCTCTTAAAAGCCAGCATTCTCAAATGCTCCTGCATGCTGGAATCACTTCCAATTATCTCTTAGCCCAGCACTAGTTAATGAAGACTCCAAGTGTATCTCGCTAGAAACCCAATTGTGTGAATTTCCTTACCTCAGTTCCAGAGATAATATATTTACAGATCAAGCCCTTCAAGCAAGAGTCCTGCAGGCCTTCCCAGAGAGAAAAAGGTCAAATTGTCTTCAGAATCAACTAGTTCTTTGACATAATATTTTGAAGGTCCAACTCAGAGAATCAGAAATTCTTTCTAACTGCAACTTGCTATCTTTCCTTGCTCAAATTCATACAAAACAGCACACAAGGATAGACAGCGAAAAATCACTAAACAATGAAATCTTCCAATGCCTTCCCAAGACAGATGAGACCAAGTCTCCAAAGAAAGTAGAAAATCCCAGTTTCCCTCTTCTGTCATACTATCCCAAGAAAATGGGAACTCATGTACCTACCTGTGTACAGGTCAGTGTCTGTGTATTCATCCACTTTCTTATGCTGCAGAATATAGTCGGAAACCTTGGTCCCAATAGCTGGCTGAACATCCACCCACTCCAAGGAGACCACAGTACTGGAGGGCTCCACTGTTGGGGACAGCCGCAGCCTACAGGGAATAAACAGGAAGATTCTTGTTTGGCAGCCAGCACCAGCTGGGGCCCAAAAGCGTCAGCATGTGTCGAAGTGAAGCACAGGTTTCAGTCTGAATTTAAATCTTGATTCCACTCACGATCACCAACTTGCATGACCTTAGGCAAGTTATTTCCCCTCTCATGGCCTCTGTTTCTCATCCATAAAATGGGAAGACAAGGAGCCACCTTTCAAGATCAATGTAGAATTTCATAAATTAATCCACGCACACAATATGTGCTCAATGGCAGTTTATCAGTTTTCCATATATTGATACTGTATTCTCAATGATGCTTCACTTTCAATTAAATTGGCAGTGCCTTCAAACAAAGGAACTTTCCACTTTTCTGCCATTCTCTTTAATACCCACAATGTATTAGCTAACTTTTTAATATCCTTAAGTAAATACACTATTGAAAGGAGTAAAACTCCTGAAGTAAATCTTTTTGCAAAGCAAGAAAAAAAATAGAATGATGAAAGGTTAGAACTAGAATGGTCCTTAGAGACGATGAAGTTTAATTCCCTCATTTCACAAAATGGGGAAAGGCTCAAAAAAAGGAAACAGTTTGCACAAGGTCACACAACAAGCTGAGGACAGGACCATGATGGTGACTTTGCTTATCCTTATCCCAGATTCCTTTTTTCAACAATACCACACTGTCTCTTCAAAGACCATCTTATAACGTGATTCTTCTCACCCACATAGGTCGATTATGGGACTTTATTTTCCAGTATTGGTTCCTGCCCCTCTCTTATGTTTCTCACACCACTTCTCCCTCTTCATCACATGCCTGCAACCACAATGACCTTCCTTTACTTCCTCAGATGGTGAATTTCCAGTGTCTGGCCCTTCACATATGCTGTTCCTTCTGCCTGAGACATGAGTCTCATCACTTGTTGCCTGGCTGGCGTCTACCCTAATTTAGGTCTCTTCAGAGAGCTTTCCCGGACTATTCCCTCTCTCTTTCAACTAAAACATCTCCCCATTATTCCCCCTAATAGCATGTCTTTGTTTCTTTTTCATATTTTTCTTATTAAAATGATTTTGTTGTTGAGACAGGGTCTCACTCTGTCACTCGGGCTGGAGTGCAGTAGTGAAAGCTTGGATCACTGCAGCCTTGAATTCCTGGCCTCAAGTGATCCTCCCACCTCAGCCTCCATAGTCACTGGGACTACAGGCATGTGCCACCACACGGGCTATTTTTTTTTTTTTTTTTTTGTAGAGACAAGGTCTCACTAGGTTGCCCAAGCTGGTCTCAACTCCTGGCCTCAAGAGATCCGCCTCAGCTTCCTAAAGTGCTGGGATTACAAGCATGAGCCATAGTACTAAGCCCTTATTTAAACTTTTAAATTGTATTTTCCTGTTTTCGTTTTGGCATCTATCTCCTCCGTTAAATTGTCCGTTCCCTAAGTACATGGACTGTGCCGATCTTGTTTCGCAGAAGAGGTTCTCCAGTTTTGTTTTGTTGTTTTTTAACTTCAGTAGCCCCATTATCTAACACAAGACCTGACAAAGTAGTCAGCTGCCTACAAGCTTTTGCTGAATGGTTGCCTGAAGGAAGAAATGATGAACTGAGTGGCATCATTTAAAACAAGCACACACTGCAATATCAGTGTCCGCTCCTGTGCCACAATTCTGTTCTGCCAAAGCTCCCTTCTTTCCTAAAAAAGGAGGTAGCCTCCAGGGTCTTTGGGGATCTTGTTAGGCACCTTGGGAGCAAAAGCAAGTCATGGCATGGGCTGGCAGGACAGGAGTGTGAGTCCATGAAAAGGGATGGCCAAAGGAAAAGGGGCCATACATACGTACACCGGCTGCGGCAGGGGGCTGCAGTTGGGGAGCCCACTGGCATCAAAGGCGCTGAGGTCACACCTGCACCAGTCATCGATCACATCTCCTTTCCCTGAGCACCAGTAAGAACTCATCAGTGCACTCTTGAAGGCCTGGAAAAAAAGGAGGACAGAGTAGACAATGAAGACAATAGGGGAGAGATCGAGAGAAAACGTGCTGATGGCCATGATGTGAGCCATCGAGGGCTTTAGAGCAGCCCCTTTAAGCACAAGACCCCACCTATTCCCTAAATCCCTTGCACTCTACTATCAGGTTCTCCCATCCTGGACCATCCCCTCCCCAGGAGCCAGAAGGATCATTGAGAAATAAAAACTATATCCACTGATAGTGTCCCCTGGGCTCGGCACTCCACCTGTGTTAACTTACTTAATCTTCACAACAACCTCATATAATAGATACTATTATTATAATTTCCCATTTTACAAGTTGGAAAACTGAAGCACACAGAAAGTAAATAACTTGACTGAGGTTTACGATAGTTAAGTGACAGAGCTAGGATCCAATCCAAGGTAATCTGCCTCCAAAGCCTGCCCTCTTATTAAACACCTTTTTGCACTGCCTTTTATAGAAGTCTGACCATCTCATTGCCCTGCTTAAAAACCTTCAAAGACTTCCCACAGTCTTCAGGATAAAAATCTAAATGCCTTGTTCTCACCCCTGGCCACCTTTTCATCTCTCACCACTCTCCTGACCTTCTTTGCACAGTATCATCCGTTCTCGTGCACCCACATCATTTCCACCAACAGTGAATTCCTGTTTATGTAAAATGTGCTCTAAATCAGGAGCTAGAAAATAGTTTCTGTAAAGGGCCAGAGAGTAAGCATTTCTGGCTTCGGGACAAGGTAGACTCTTCCACAATTACTTAACACTGTCTTTGTAGCATGAAAATGGCATAGATGATACTTTTACATGAATTGGCACGGTTGTATTCCTATAAAACTTTATTTACAAAGACAAGTAGTAGGCTAGATTAGGTCTGAGGGCCACAGTTCGCTGACCTTTGCTCTAAATGATAATCAATGTTCTATTTAATTGGAACGTGCTTCATAGTCTTTTTAAAACACATACACACACACACACTCCATTCTATGCCTGGAATATTCCCCTCTCTGCACTCCAGTTTACTCTTTTGATCTCAAATAGGAAACATTCTTTTCTCTGGGAAGCCCACCATAACTTTCTTAAGTCTAGAACCATGCTCCTCTTCTGGATACCGTAACACACTAGACCATACCTACCGACACATTTCCTTGCCTGTCTCACCAATAAACACTGGTCCCACCAAGGGCAAGGGCCAGGCCTTAGTCACATGAATATTCTTGTGGGACCTAGCACAGTTATTCAGTCAACAATTAGTAAATACATGAATGCACATTGAAAAATAGATCGTTAATATTTGGCAGTAAAGAACTTGGAAGGCACTTTTTCAGTTTAGCACAGGACAGGACTCAAGTTTTACCTTCTACTTTGTTCCCCTCCCTTGGGCTCTGATGTGGAAGATAACTTCAGCGTGTGCTTGATGCTAACACTGACATTTCAACGCATTGCAGATTCTGAATGAATGACAGCTGTCTTTAAAACGTAAGACTTTCAGAGAATGTTGATCTCTTATTCCTTTGTGCTTTGCCTGCTCTGTATGATGGCCTTATTTTTCATTTCTTTCATATTTTTTACTTTTGATATGCTTTTAAATAAAAGTTGCACACCGCTAAGGGCACTTGATTACCAAGATATCACTTTTTTCATTCTGCATTATCTAAAAGACTCAAGTAGAACATGTTTGTATAAAGTGGGTCTGGGGTCTCCCTTCTGAGTGATCCAGAACACAGATCTAGAAGTAGACGGTGTCTATCAACAGTGTTCCTGTGTAAGCTTCCATCTCATTTCTCCTGGAAGTTGACAAAAACTCTCCAATTATTCCTGCCACACATTCTTATCCATGTCATTTCCTAGGGATGAATGAATGAATGATCAAATTTCACCTGAGTTAAGTGTCATGACCCAAAGAAATAACAAACAATTATAATAAAAGCTAATGTTCATGAAACACTAAACGGCACACACAGTACATGGTACTTTAAGTGTATTAAAATGTAATAATCACAATAGTCCTGAGACACAGATATTACGATTCTCATTTGTATATAAGAAAACTAGGAATCAGAGCAGTCAAGCAATTTTCTCAAGATCACACAGCAAGTAAATGGTAGAAACAGAATCCCAACCCAGATTTCTGTGACTCCCAAGTGCAGGTCTTTTCTGTTCAACAATTCTGAGCCATGGGATTAATCCCAAGTAGGGTTGCCAGATTCAGTAAATTAAAACACAGCGTGCTCAGTTAAATTCAAATTCTAGGCGACATGTTTTTAGTGTAAGCATATTTCATAAACGATTTGCATATAAAGTGCCTGGGCCAGGGTGTGTCACACAGTAAGAGAACTGTTCCTACTAGGTGCCAGAACCTATGCTGAGAACAAATGTCCATTCTCTAGCCAGCACCAGAAGGAGGCACTCTCATGAGAACAGAAACCAGATGCGACTGCATGAGGTCATGCTGACTGTTAGACCTTTTCTCGCTCCCTTTGCAGGTTCCCCTTTAGTAAAATTAATGTGCTTAACTACTGATGGCTTAAAATTCTGTAACATCTCCAGCCAGCACTGAAGGCTTAATTACCATAACGGTGAAAACCAGGGCCATGGGTGAAAGTGACACAGATGGGAAGGTTGCACTGGACCCCAGCAACGGGAAGAGAGAGAGCATACTCTGTGTGTGTGTGTGTGTGTGTGTGTGTGTGTGTGTGTTTGGTTTTTATAATAAATAGGAACTTGAGCTTGTGGAAAACAAAACAGGAAATCTCTCTGGACTTTGTGAGTTTCACAAAGTTTCACAAAGTTTCACCATCCAGGCAGTGGATTTCTTTTTGGGAGGAAATCCTGCCTGTAAGAATCCACATCCACTGGCTCTTTCCCAAAACCCCGAGGAACAGAATGGGGACTGGTGCAATAGCCAGGCAAATACTGGTTAGAACACAAACACACTCTGATAAAAGACCAGCATCAAACAGGGAGTCCTCATAAGGCTGCAGAAGCCAGCACTGGGTCAATGCAGGATCACTCTTTCCTTACCTCTTCTGTCCTTGCAACACTCCATCCAGAGTCCAATTAGATCCCGGGGGAGGAAAATCATAGAATGTTCCAACTTCACAGGACTCTGTAAATCATCTAACCTAATCCATTTTACAGATGCAGATACAGTGACCCAGAGATGCTAGCTGGCTGGACCAAGGTGATAGAACAACTTTACGATGAAACTACTCTATCCCTCCGTTGAGTGCTCAAAATTACCCATTGAGATGGATGCTCAATACCCACTTACAGAAAAGCATGGAGGGACAGGGAGGGACTTGAACTAAAGCCCATTTGAATCCTTGTACCCTTGACCTTAGTAGGTCATATAGGAACAATAAATGCCAATATTTCATCCAAAATTTCCTGTTCAGCTGCTCTGCTTGGGTCATGTGCTTATGTGTGTGCGTGTGTTGTCTGCATGCATATGTGTCTCTGTGTGTGTGAGAGAAAATGAAACCTTACACTGGATGCATTGTTGACTCCTAGCTTTTGAATAAGTGGAGGGACCTAAGAAACACATTCTGTACTTAATGGCTATATTTGCATGGCCATTGGTTTTCATAACGAAGAAGGTTTGCATTTCCACAACTTGTAAATGCTTCCAACTTCTGGCTAATTAGCTAGGAAACCAAGCTGGATAAGAGGAGAAAACAGCCACAAAAATATTAAGCAATCAAAAAAACTAGGATGTATTTCTGACTCTCTTGTTACTTTCCTTTTTGAACTTGCATAAAAGATTCCTCATTCTTAACCTCAATTTCCCTATCTACAAATGAGGGGATAGAAGATATGTTTTCTAAGGTTTAAGTTCAGTACACATTCAGTGAACTTCCTACTACATACCTTATGCCTTCCAGAAAGTAAGAAAGGGGATTAACAAGACCAAGTCACTAATTTCAAAGGATCTGCAATTTATTAGCAAAGATACACACACAAACAATTATAATTACTATAGTACAAATGCTATGAAGTAATACACACAGAAGGCTATGAGAATACAGAAGGAAGGGGACTCTTCTAGCTCTAAAACATGACAATGTCTTAGGAATCTTAAACTTTAGGTAAACACCCTGTACTTAAGATATTTAGAAACATCTACACAGAATGTCACTAAGCCCATGAATTAAATTCCACACTCTATACTTCAAATGACTGTAATTTTTACACTAAAAAGTATTCTCATGTGCTAATACCAAGTCAGTTATTTTTGATACTAAGATGGTTCTGGTCTGTATGACTCCAAAAAGATGCTCTGAAGTCCTTACTAATGCCTAATGGATTTCATCTCCACAGTATTAACAAACTTGGTCACATGACTGCTTAACCCACAACAAATGAGGTGGGGAAAGGCTTTCTAGAGAAAAAAACAATCTATTATCTTTTTACCAACTGGCTACATCTTAGGGCCAAACACAGTATCTAGCATTTAACATAAGGCAGTCAATGTTTGTTTAATTAAAAATTCACATGGAATGCTGAATAAAACAAACCAAATAAATGATAAAAGCAAAGAAAATTTGTGTGTATGTTTGTGATCCTCTTCTCCCCAGGATTACTTGTATCTCCCATGTCAGTTTGGTGGTTCCAATCAAAAAGTGGTGGTCAACCCTCTACCTTATAAGGTTTCTCAAAACCAACCTCCCGACTGGGCGCAGTGGCTCACACCCGTAATCCCAGCACTTTGGAAGGCCGAGGTGGGTGGATCATGAGGTCAGGAGTTCGAGACCAGCCTGGCCAACATGGTGAAACCCCATCTCTACTAAAAACACAAAAATTAGTCAGGCGTGGTGGTGGGTGCCTGTAATCCCAGCTACTTGGGAGGCTGAGGAAGAATTGCTTGAACCCAGGAGGCAGAGATTGCAGTGAGCTGAGATTGTGCCACTGTACTCTAGCCTAGGTGACAGGGCAAGACTCTGTCTTGGAAGAAAAAAACCCTCCCCACTCTGGCCCCACCACTGTCTCC